TTCGGCCCTGCTTGCGACTACCTCTGGCTGCGCGGCCCCAGCCGGGTGCGGGCTCAGCTACCGCACTAGGTGGGAAGCGCAGCCCCAGAGCCAGCGCAGCGCTCAGAGCGCACTCGCACGCTGAGCATCCTCAGGGCTGCCTTGGGCTTGGGCCACCCACCCAGCTCCAGTGCCCGTCCTCCCTGCTGTGGCACCCTGAGCCGGCCTGTGCTGACTCCCCCGCAGGGCCAGGGCCTTTGGTGGCAGTTCTGAGCCCCAGGCCAGCCTCCCTCAGAAGCAGCAGAAGGGCAGGCCTGCCGGCCACGGCCCAAAAGGAACGTGCCTGTACCAGCCGTGGAGCCAACACTTGCCAGCCGCTGGAACTGGCCAGGAGAAGCAGCTGTCTCCCATGCACCTGAATCAGCACCGGGGAGGGCTTCCCAGAGCAGGCCAGCTGGGCGAGCACAAGGAGCTGAGTTACTCCCCTGTCCCGTGCTGCTGGGGTGGGGAGGACAAGGCAGCTCCATTTTGGGCCTCCCTCCCGGCTAAGCAGAGGGGAGCCAAGATGGAGCCAGCCTTCCTTCGCGAGGCACTGCCCCTCTGGACGGCAGGGACCTTTCCTGGGGGCCACCTCTGTGAGAGGGAAAGGGAGTCGTCCAGGCTGGGGGGGCGCAGGTGACAAGGGGGGACCAGCCATGTTGGCTGGGGGATGGAGAGAGGGGCCCCGTGCAGGTGGGAGAGCAGAGCTACCAGAGGTGCGGGGAACCCAGCTCTGTTAGCCCCGAGCTCTCACCTTGGAGACTGCGTTTTCCATGGTCACCAGACACCTTCCCCTTGCTCACTAGCATCACCTCACCCCTCCGAGCTGCCCTCTTCCCTGCCGCCAGGCCCACCAGCTGGGAGGCGGAGTCACTTTGCTCCAGGTTCGGCCTGTGGGGGATCATGCTGCAGGGTTCGCACGGCAAGCCCAGAATGGAGGAGCCAATTGGACTGCTTGTCGAGCTGCTGCGTGCAGTCGGTAGAGAGCCAACGCCACTGGGCTCCACAGGCGCTAGCTGCCGGCCCAGGCCTGGCCCAACAGGCAGCCACACAGACAGAGCAGGTTAGTCACAAGGAGACAGCAGGGAGCTAGCCGGATGCCAGATACACAGACACGCAGAGGAACAGGAGCAGGCGAAGGGAGGGGAACAGAGTGACGTGCAGAGGCCAGAACAGGAGGGTGAGGTTAGAAGCATGAGGAAACGTCAAATCAAGGAAGCAAACGTACCATTAGTCGGATGCTTTGCAAACGACACAGAAAATCGTTTTACGGCTGGCATAGACAAGAGCTCTGAGGAAATAAAAACAGATCATCTCAGTTAATAGCCTGCTCCTAGGGAGCCCGGAGACTTGCAAGCTTGCAGCCCTCCCTGTCTGACAGAGCCCTCACGCTGATCCCTCTGCCTGGCCTCCACGCCCCTCCCCTCTGGACAGTGCTGCCTGCTTCTCTTGGCCTCTCCGCCCCTCTTGCCTGATGCCATCTAGCATCTTCCCGCCAATCCTTGGATGCGTCTGGAGCCCCACCTTGCGTACAGGTGGCACTCCCTGGCCTCCCGGCTCAGGCTGCCTAGATCCTCTGCCCTCTGGGCCGTGCGGGCTCCTACAGGCGACAAGTGACAGGACGGGCTCAGAGTCAGGAAAGCACAAAGCCACACAACAGAACACAGCAGCACACACAGGCCATGCTGGCGAGAAGCAAAGTGCCTCAGCCTGTCCCCTCCAGGGTCTGTGCTAAGCAGAGAGCTTTGTGGTGTCAAGAGGAAAGTCAAATACACACCTGAACAGAATTTAAGTGGGTGCCCCCAGGCCTCGCCCCACCTGGCAGGGCCCCTCCACAGAGCTGGGCCCCACGAGGACCCTTTTGGGCATGAGCCAGGCCAGGTTCCTGGCCACAGAGAAGCAAAGCTGCCCGCCAGGAGTTCTGGGGCGCTGGGGAGAAGGGCTGAAAACAGATTCTCGGGACAGATTTTTATTTCCATAATCCACCAGAAAAGTGGGCCCAGTGAGCCGTAAGGGGGCAGGCCTGGGAGCTCCTCAGAAGAGGTGGAAGGGACCGGCCGGAGCAGACTGGAAGGGAGAGAGAAGGAGACTGGATCTGCGGCCCGGGGGGAACAAAGCCCCGCAGCTCAGACTTCCGCCTCTGCTGGGATTCCAAACCGCTCCCTTTTCCCGTTTCCTTTACGCTGCTCATGTGTCCTGGGAAAAGGGCGAGAAGGGGGCTAGTGCAGCTGGGGGCTGCAGCCTCTCGCCCTG